AAGAAGAGAGAGAAGGTTTTGAATTCTGACAGCTTTAAGAATATTAGATGAAAACTCCATTTTTATAAGCTACCATTTTGTCTTTACTCGCGTCCGTTAAAAGAAAACCATTTAGCTTTTTCCTTGGCTGGATAGCATGTACACAAAACAAGTATAACCCACTGAAAATTAATTTGCAGAAATGGTAGTTTTGGGGGTACATGGCATATAATGTATATATAGCTGATACACTTACACACCACATATAACAAGTTTTAAAATCTGAAAAAAAAAGAAACCCAGATTGAAAAGGGGAAAAAAAGAACACTGAAAGAACGATTTTTTTTTTTTTTCCGACGTGGAAAATAATCTTTGTCAGCGTTCTGACAGGCTCTACCTTAATTCAGACAACGACGGAAGAATCTCACTTCAGCTAAACATCGTTTGTTGCAAGTTCGTCCCAGTGCAAGGTCTCGTGCGTGTACGATACGCTCGCGTTGGCAAAGAGATCTGTTTGTAAGAGTGAACCGATTTTAGTCGTGTAATTCACGCTCCTTGTTGGTGTTGGGAAAGAGAGCTTACACGCCGACCTGCAAGCTTAAGTTGGTTTTTAATTATTTTTTAGCCAACGTTATTTCTACAAAAATTTAATTTATTGAATTAAATTTGAATATTTTATTAATTAAATATAAATACATATCAATTATAATATAATTTTTTACCGACATATCAGAATTTATGGTCCACAATTTATAACTTTTTATAAATAAAATAAAATAATAACTATTCAGTTAAAATATTACTAAATTTAGTTTTTAATCTTTTATAATAAAAATAAAGTATTAATTATTTAATTAAAAATAGTTAATTTAATTTATAATTTAAGAAAAAATTATGATATTAGTATTAATGTGAATTTATTTTTAAAAAAATACAAAATCATTTGTACATCTAATATTTTTATTTGGAATAGTGGTAATTATGTACATATTTTATCTTCTATGTATTTTCTTGCTAAAGATTAGTGATTATAATTATGAGTAACCAAATATATATATATATATATATTTCTTT